GTTCATGCCCGTTTGGCTCTGAAAGGCGGGGGGGCATATATAAGGAAGGGGGGCTTCTGGAAATTTACAGTGGTCTCCAACTTTGGTCACTTGAAGACTTGTGGACTCCAACTCCCAGAATTCCTCAGCCGGCTTTGCTGGCTGAGGAACTCTGGGAGTTGAAGTCCATAAGTCTTAAAGCTGTCAAGTTTGAAGGCCCCTGCCCTAATATGATCTTTTCCAGAAAAAAATGTTTTTTTAAAAAAACTCTTTGCCCTCCTCCTTGTCTCCCCTTCCCCATCTTCCTTTCCTCCTCCTCCTCACCCCCCTTTTAACCTTTTGTTTCTCCCCTTCCCCCTCCTCTTCAGCCTGTCCCCCACCCTCTCACCTTCAGCCCCACACCCTAAATCCAAGCCACCCTCAACTCACCCCTCTGCGAGGGGGCTATAAAAGGAGGGAAACTTCCCCGGAGTCCCACGAAAGGCAGCTGATCTCCAGGAAGGCATCTTCGCCCTGATAACAACTGACAGTAACTGACCCTTTAGCCTTCAGGGATGACCCACCTGCCTTCTCCTTCCATCAAAGGGCACCGGCTCCTCCACCTTGGTGACCTACATCAGCCCCCTGCTTTAGCAGGAGACCCTATGCCATTTCAGACAAGTGGCTGTCTAATTTCTTCTTTAAAACCTCCAGTGATGGAGATGCCACGATTTCTAGTGGCAAGCCATTCCCCTGGTTAATTGTCCTCACTGTTAGGAAGGTTCTCCTTCATTCCAGGTTGCTTCGCTCCTTGAATAGTTTCCATCCCTTGTTTCTTCTCCTGCCCTCGGGGGCTTTGCAGAATAATTTGAGCCCCTCTTCTTTGTGGCAGCCCCTCAAATCCTGGAAGGCTGCTCTCATCTCGCCCCTAATTCTTCTTTTCTTTAGACGAGCCAAACTCGAGGCCTGCAGACGTTCTTCATAGGGCCTTTATTTGTCCCATTGTCCAATAAGACTGAGCCTAACAGAGTCTCACTGATCGACAAACCTTAATCCAGTCCGTTGTCTGGAAAGACCCATTTTAAACCAATATTATTCAGCCCATCCCGTTTAGACCCATTATAATATATACTCTGCACTGTTTTCTGGTCAAGAAAGGGGAAAACTCCTTATGTAGTCAGTGACGTTCCCTCTGTTTTCCCCATCAAAAGAGGCAGGAGCCATAAGCACTTGAGGAATGGCAGTGGCAACGGAAGAGGGAGGGCAGGTAGAGCTGCATGCGCTGAAGAGGCAGACTTACCTGGAGGATCGGTCTGCTTTTGTGCATCACTGACAAGAGAGTCCCGTGCTTGAGCAGGGCGTTGGACTAGAAGACCTCGGAGGTCCCTTCCCACTCGATTATTCCTTTATTCCATTCTGTTAAAAAGGTTTGGAAAGGCTTGGAAATAAGAGTTGGAAGGAGCAGGCTTGGGCTCGACACAAAATAGCAGTGTGTGTGTGTGTGGGGTGGGTGTTTCAGTGCAGAAGCCCCCCATTCCCCAAGCTGCACTCTTTATTTGCAGGGGTGCCATGCATTTTGTGCATGCATACAGCCGCGGGTTCTGTTGACCTCCATTTAATGCTTGTGAAAACCCAGCTGACAAGTAACTTTCCACATTTTTGAGCCAACAAGCAGAAATGCGGATTTGTGGGGATTTGATCCAGTTGCATCTAAACTCCTGTAGTCCTTAAAGGCAAACACTTTCCTTGTGCTTGGGAGAAAGAGGCTAATTTACTGGCCTCTTTCCATGGTTGAGTTTCCATGGTTTAGTTTGAGGTTGGTATTCAAATTTCTTAACAACCGGATCTGTGGGCGTGGCCTAATTTGTGGGTGTGGCTTGGTGGGAATGTGACTGGGTGGGCATGGCTTACTGGCTGAGCATGGCTTACTGGCTGGGCGTGGCTTGGTCATGTGACAGCGTGGCTTGTATGTAAATATTATAAATATGTAAATATGATTTTTTTTATTAAAAAAAGAGTAACTTTTACCAGAAATCAGGCAAAGCAGGCAGGCAGATTGAGTTGCTCACAGAATCACAGATTCACTCAGAGATCTACCTTTCTGCAATCTGCTACCTGAGTCTGCACTGAAAAATAGAAGCTTCAGTCCTAAGGAAGGTTCAGCTCTGCTTTTAGATTGGCTAGAAAGCAAGAAACCCAACTATTTCCTGCTTTCTAGCTAATCTAAATCTCCCGATGGTCGGGGGGGCGGGGGGGGGAGAAAAACAAATGGGGCGGGCAGGTTGGATGGCACGCATACCAGGTAAGGAGTGAGGATGCTGGGAGGGGAGGGGAGGGGCCAGCCAGTGGCACGATTTGCCGGTTCTCCGAACTGCACAGAATCGTAACAACCGGTTTATAGAACGGGTCCGACCAAGTAGAATCCCTGTGCTGTCCAGACAGTTTAGAGTTAATGGGATTTGGATAGTTAGGTAGCAATTGTGAGCTGTCCCTTTAAGGGAATGCATCATGGTAAATGTAGTTAAGGTATCCTGGGAAATGTAGTCCATATCACGGGACCACATCTGTAATCCTGATTGGTCATTAAATTAACCCTCGATGGGTAGGAGGAGTTTTCCTCACTCTTGGCTGAACTCACAGACTCGTAACTGTTCTACCTCTATCGCCACGAGATGAGAGAAAAAGGATAGAAGATAGTCATCTTTTTACCTACAAGATAGATATACAAAGGATTGGTCATTAAAGAAGAACTTCATCACAAATGTGAGTTATGAGGATACCTGATGAACCACTAAATATACGTTGTTATGGACGTCTTGTTGAGTTTATCTATCTGCATCTGCACAGCTTTCAAATCCACTACTGTACAGAATACAGAACAATCCCACCCCGATCGAGTTTCCGTGGTTTGAGTTTCCGTGGTTGAGTTGCAATTGCCCTCCCGCTCAGCGCACTCCTGATGACAAAGGCATTTCCTCCCCGCAGTTCTTCTCAGCAGAGGCTGTCCTACACCATCCTCAGCGACCTGGCCTTGGCGCTTCTTGACGGGACCGTCTTTGAGATCGTACAGGGCCTGCTAGACATCCAGCACCTGACGGAGCGAAACCTCTACAACCAGCGGCTCAAACTGCAGACGGAGCATCGAGGCAAGTGAGCCCCATGAGTCATGCCCACCGAGCCTTTGCACTCACTAGTGAAGGGGCAGGAGTCCTGGGCCAAACTCTGCTTTCCCCCTTCTTCCCTTTGTGTGGGCGGAAGGAGATGGCCGGAGGCTCAATTCACCCTGTTAGAAGGCACGGAGGGGTGCTGAGAGCTGGAAGGTTTCTTCCTCCTGGTCTAGTGGCGTCACAATATCACGGGCCGCCTTTCCTGCCTCTCCCAGCAGCGGATAAGGGAAAGTGTGCAGAGTGCAGCAGCAGCAGCCAGAAAAATTAATACAATCCTGGGTTGTATAAACGGAGGCAGAGAATCAAGATCACATGAAGTATTAGTACCACTTTATAAAACCCTAGTAAGGCCACACCTGGAATACCACAACCAATTTTGGTCACCACATTACAAAAAAAGATGTTGAGACTTTGGAAAAAGTTCAGAGAAGAGCAACTAAGATGATCAAAGGCCTGGAAACTGTACACATGAAAAATGGTTGCAGGATATGGGTTTAGTTAGTCTAATGAAAAGAAGAATTAGAGGTGACATGATAGCAGTGTTCCAGTATTTGAGGGGCTGCCCCAAAGAAGAGGGGTGTGTGTGTGTGTGTCAAATTATGCTCCAAAACAGCAGAGGGCAGGACAAGAAACAATGGTTAGAAACTAATCAAGGAGAGAAGCAACCTCGAATTAAGGAGAAACTTCCTAGCAGTGCAACAGAAGTTGCCTTCGGAAGCTGTGGGTGCTCCATCACTGGAGGTTTTTAAGAAAAGACTAGACAGCCACATGGTATATACTATAAGGTATCCTGCTTGAGCAGGGGTTGGACTAGAAGACCTCCAAGGTCCCTTTCATCTGTATTCTACTTTTAGCAGGAACCACTTTGCATAATTATAGAAAGTTGTCTGGCTAAATATGTGCAAGACAAATCCATCATATTAACACCTGAAAATGATGTTCTTCCAGACTGTGTAAGGCACTTTCGTTGCTATGCCCAGTCATAAAACACCCAGCTTCCTTTTAACTTAAATTTAGCATGCTCTGCAAACTGGTGCATTCTTAAAAATAAACTGGTTTAAAATCACATTTATTTATAAAAGCAGTTGCCCTTATATACCGCTTCATGGTGCTTTCCAGCCCACTCTAAGCGGTTTAGTGCTTCAGCCTGTTGCCCCCAACAATCCGGGTCCTCATTTTACCCACCTCGGAAGGAGGGAAGGCTGAGTCAATGTTGAGACAGTCAGAATCAAACTGCTGGCAGTAGGCAAAGGAAGGCAGGCAGGCAATAACAATAGCCCTTAGACCAGGGCTCCCCAACCTTGGCCACTTTAAGACTTGTGGACTTTAACTCCCAGAATCTCCAGCCAGCATAGTTGGTTGGAGAATTCTGGGAGTTGAAGTCCACAAGTCTTAAAGTTGCCAAGTTTGAAGACCTCGGTCGTAGACGTTTACAGACCTCTCTAAGCAGTTTACAGAGTCAGCCTCTTGCCCCCAACAATCTGGGTTCTCATTTTACTGACCTCAGAGGGATGGAAGGCTGAGTCAACCTTTATTTGGTGAGAATCAAACTGCTGACAGTGGCCAGAATTAACCTGCAACACTGCATTCTAACCACTGTGCATGAAGGAAGGAAGGAAGGAAGGAAGGAAGGAGTAAAAGAATAGCAATAGCCATAGCACAGACTTATATACCACTTTATAGTGCTTTCCAGCCCTCTCTAAGTGGTTTACAGAGTCAGCATATTGTTTGCAACAATCTGGGTCCTCATTTTACCCATCGGAAAGATGGAAGGCTGAGTCAACCTTGAGCCTGGTGGGATTTGAACTGCCAAATTGCAGGCAGCCGGCAGGCAGCAGAAGGAGCCTGCAGTACTGCACTCTAACCACTGGGCCATCACAGCTCTACTAAACAAAGTTGTAAGTGGACTGCACTCTATGAGCACAGCAGAGTAGCCAGGAGAGGCCAAGAAGGTTGGGCGGGTGATGGGCTGCGTCTTGGGGGGAGGGGCTCATTTTGTTTTCCTCCTCCCTTTTTTCACCAGCCCTGAAGCAGGAGACCTTCCGCAAACACAAGGAGGACCAGCAGAGCTGCCAGCCCCACAACCTGCCCCTTCTGAAGGCCGCTCAGCAGCGAGAGATGGAGGTGAAGGCGGCAAGAGAGGTGGCGGGTGGGGGGGTGACAGTGGGGTGGGGGTGCTTCCTTCCCCCTTTAGTCCATATGGCTTGAAGCATAGTTCAAAATGCCAAACGCTGTTTGATGGTGGTTCCTTCTTTGGCCTCTTGGGTTCCTCCTTTGCTCAGGCTGTGGAGCAGCGGATTCATACTGAGCTACGGATGATGGATGAGAAAATAGTCTTGGAGCTGGATCAGAAAGTGGTGGACCAGCAGAGCACATTGGAGAAAGCTGGCGTCTGTGGCTTCTACATCACCACCAACCCCCAGGTCTGTTCAGGCTGGAATCCGGCTTTGCCCAAAGCTAAGTGGCAGCAAGAAGGCAGACTGGGATGTCGGGGCTGAAGAACGCCTGCCCTGGGGTGAAGCTGCCCACCCTAGAGCAGGGGTCTCCAACCTTGGCCACTTTAAGACTTGTGGACTTCAACAGTTGAAGTCCACAAGTCTTAAAGTTGCTGTGATGACTCAAAGGGGCGTGGCACAAAGGCAACACAGTCAGATAATCAGTAGGAGTCCCTTTATTAGCTCCAACTTTGCCCCCAATGTCCTGGTTACCTTCTGGCTGGAGAAAAACTCTCCCAGGAACAGCCTTTGGCTGCAGGGAATCAAGTCCAAAACATGGTCAACAAAAACTCTAACTTAAAGTCCAAACAAGCCAAACTGAAGTAATAAGTTTGGCAGGGCAGGAGCAAGAATTTCAGACTTGAAGGCACGGCAAAACTCACACAGTTGGGAGACGCCAGGAACACAGATAAACCACAGCAACACAAGATAAAGTCACATTTGCTCCTAGCAGGCTGCCACATGCAACTGTTCTCAGCTGTGGTTAATGAAGGGAATCGGGGCCCTTTCCTCCCCCATAAGCCACGCAACCCAGGTTGCTCCCTTCTCCGTTCTTCCCTGAGTGCCCTAGGATGAAGAGGGGGTGGGCCTGGGTCTTCCTCTGAACTCCCTCTCCCTTGTTCTACCTCTTTCCTGCTCTGCCCAGCTGGACTGTGCCCTTCCCCAGTTTCTTCCACAGCCAATGGAGCCACACTCCCAGTCCCTGTCAGCTGTTCGACTTCCTCCTCGGAATCAGACTCTGACAGGGGCAGGACACTTGCCAAGGTTGGAGACCCCTGCTCTAGAGGGTCTAGCAGGGAGGGGTGCAAAGGCCCATCTTCCATCCCCCCTCCTGAGATCGGGGGATGGGGGCGCCCCCCCCCTTGGAAATCGCTGAACAACACCCCCATCCCAGGATCAGAGAGCCTGGTGGGAAGAGAGGGAACGGGGGGTGGGGCTCTTCCACCGGACCCGCAGAGTGGCAGAATCTCTTGACACAGCAGCAACAGATGGCCCTGGAGGAGAAATAGCTATTTACTTTTTATACTGGGATTGTAAGCCATGTCAGCTTTGCTGGCTGAGGAATCCTGGGAGTTGAAGTCCACAAGTCTTAAAGTTGCCACGGTTGGAGGCCCCTGTTGTAATCTATTGTCTGTGGGCAGGATGTGGAAGTGGCCTGGCTTTGCCCTGGCTGCTTGCAAGGCGTTTTGCTGACAGGTGGGAGGGAGGGAGGGAGAAGTGGGCTTGCTTTTATTCCTAAATTAAAAACAAAACCTCTCTCTTTCTCTCCCAGGAACTGACGCTCCAAATGAATATGCTGGAGCTCATTCGGAAACTACAGCAACGGGAAATGCAGTCCAGGCAGCCGTTCCCCTGAGGGGGGACCCAGAGGGGAGCTTCTCCCACCATGCCTGGCATTGGCAGGAAACACGGGTGACCATCGTGTGGGGTTTATTTAAGAGGTTTGCCTCACAAAAGAGCAGGACAAAGCTGTAGGGTGGAGGGTTGTACTAGATGACCTACAAGGTCCCTGCCAACTCTGTTCATCTGACTCTAAGGCCGAAGGAGTTCAGATCGAGTTTGTCTTTGGTCTTTCTTAGAACAAGGGTCCCGGGTTGTTGTTTCTTTTTATAATGTTTGAGGAATTTCCAAAATACCTACAGGTTGATATTTTGAAATTGTAATATAGGAGATACAGGCTGTAAAAAGGCAATAAACACAATTTATTTATTCAGTAGATTTCTATGGCTGCCCATCTCAAACACATGATTTCAGGTGGTTAACAGTATTCAAAAGGTTAAAAACATATTAAAAAATGGAAAACATATAGCAGCTGGGGTGGAAATCAACATTTAGCCCAAGCAAGAAAGGGGCTCTTTCATTCCATACCACTGATTACTGATAAAGTTTTGTCCTTTAATTAAAATGTTTAATTCTTCAAAGATGCTATTTCAATAAATATTGGACCCTTTGGTATATTTAATAGGCTAGTGGCATTCAGGAATATACATTATGCACAGTTTTTATTTGGAATGTTTTTAACAGAAATCTTTACCTAGATTTGTAGAAATTGTACAGCAATATGAGTATTCTGGTGCAGAATAAATTAGTGTTAAGTCTAATGCCGTGTCTTTGAAACTTGGTAACCTGAAGATGTTAGGACTTCAACTCCCACAATTCCCCAGTCAACAACCTGGGAGTTGGTCTAAACATGAGAATTGGAAATAAGGTACTTACAGATAATAGGTTAAAAATAGGAGTTCTTTATTGTTCTGATTCCATTATATATTTGTGAAGAATAGAATGAGTAAGAGGAGAGGGCTACACAACAGAATTTTTTATTAGCCAAGTGAGATTGGACACACAATCTCCGATGCATAAACTCAGTGTATATACAAACAAGTAATAGGTCATAGATCATAATTACAATCATTAATCATACAAACAATTGACAAATCATAAATCAATAACAGAAGAGAGGAAAGATGAGAAATGAGAGTGCTGGGGAATTAAGTGTTCAGCAGAGTGATGGCATGGGGGCGGGGGGGGGGGGAATCTGTCCTGGTGTTTAGTTCTGGGATGCAATGCCCTATAGCCGTGTATTAAGGAGAGAAGTTGAAATAGATGATGTCCAGGATGTGAGGGGTCTGTGGATATTTTCACAGCCCTCTTTCCAGCTCCTGCAGTGCACAGGCCCTCAGTGGAAGGCAGGCTGGTTGCAAAAATTTTTTCTGCAGTCCTAACTGTCCGTTGAAGTCTGTATCTGTCCTTTTGGTTGCTGTGCCAAACCAGACAGTTATAGAGGTGCAAATGACAGGCTCAAAAATTCCTCTGTAGAACTGGATCAGCAGCTCCTGGGGCAGCCTGAGCTGCCTGAGTCAGTGCAGGAAGAGCATTCTTCCTTGTGCCTTTTTAATGATGATTCTAAGATTAGGTGTCTATTTCAAGTCCTGGGAGATTATAGAATCCAGAAATCTGGAGGTCTCCACTGTTGATATTGTGTTGCCTAATACAGTGAGAGGTGGTAGAATAGGAGCTATCGCTAGTTGTTGCTAGGAATATAGTTTGTTTAGTGGAAATGAATTATTTCATATTGCTTGACCCAAGCCTGCATTATCAAGAAATGATAGAAAATATAAATTTGTGAGAAAGGTTAAATGCAATGGAAAGGAAAATAACTTTAAAAATTGATAAATTTTGAGGGTTTTTGCCCAATTCACTTAAATATTTTAATTGATTTTTTTGTTAACAGAACACATTCCTAGGATTTGTTTTGTGGGAAGCCTCCCCCCCAAGAATGAAATATTTTGGGAAATATTTAAAAAGCAAATATTTCCCTAAAGGAGAAATGGAGAAACATGTTTTTAGAGACAGAAAGCAGGCTCCAGTCTTTCTTAATAGCCCACAGCAAATGTCAGCACTTATGGAGAGAAAGAGCTTATTGAAAGAGGAAGCCAACTATCTAGATGGCTCCATTCATAAGCAAAGCAAATACTGCATGCTGAAACCCATTCAAGATAGGATATTTGGCAACACCTTGCAGCAAAGTTTGACAACTAACAAAAGCAGAATGGTAGGATTAGTACAAGCAGCCTCTCACCCAAGATCTAGCACAGGACGAAAGCCATTAGTCACAATAGGAATTGCCCAATACCCTTTCAGATTCACTGCATGATATTCATTGCACGATATAAAAAATCCTGGCACTCATCTAGTTAATTGTTGAGCTGACCCGGAACCAGAAACCCTGGTGGTTCTGTTCACCAGTAAATGGGACTGTCCAATCAAGCCTCCATATTGTTTCCAACATCTTTCTCTCAGTTTGGAACTGAACCAGATGGATTGTTCTCCCAACAGTTTTCTAAAGCCATGTTTTTCATACAAAAATGGTGTTTTTAATTTGTACTATATGAAAATCCTAAATCTGTACCACTGCAAGCCCAGCTTAAAAATTACTGCTGGGCAGCGTTTAAAGCCATGGCAAGTCCTTTCTTCCAAGTACCATAGGAACTCTAAAATTTAAAGCAACAATGAATTCATTTAAGGAAATTAAAGTGTAAAAGATTGAAAGTGGGATAATTAGATAATATTGTTAACGACGTTATTAAATTGGATAATCATGCATTTAGAATACACAAATGATTGCTGAATCATGTGGCATTGAATTTTAAGAAATACTAAATGTTTCTTATTATTTTAAATCTAAATTAGACCAATAGAAAATTATTTCTGGAAGTGACTCTATTCCTCAGCAGCTGTTTAAAAATAGTTAACAGTTATTCTTAAAACTGGCAAAGTAACAAATTTGAACAGACTTCCATGTGGAAATGGAAATTCTTGCATGGTTAGTGGTGAACTAATGTTGGAGGAGGAAATTGAGTTTTAAAAATGTGAATATGCTGCTAAATTATATTCCAGAAATCTGGAATTCATCTATCTGAAACGCCTTGAATATATGGTGCTTAGACTTAGGGAAAAAGGGATGATAGATGATGGCAGGTCGGCTAAAAGAAAATTGTCCATTCTCCCGCTGAATTGGCTGTGTATGGTGGGAGAAACCCAGCTGGACAAAATAAGTTTTTATTATTCTCTATTTATTCATTATTAGATTTGTGTGCTGCCTGTATCATCTAGGTAGTTCCAGAGGGCCTTAGTTTAATTTGCTACTTCAAAATTGACTATAATTACTTCCATAACCAGGAGTCTATTTTTGATACTGTAAAATTTAGAATTACTGTAGAATTAATAATTACTGTAGAATTTACAATTCTATTTTATTATTTTTTTAAAAAAAGCCAATGCAATCCTAACTTGCATTAACAGGGATACAATCGAGATCAAGGGAGGTACAAACCAATAAAGTCTTACACTTAGGCAAGAAAAACCAAAGGTACACATACAGACCGGGTGAAATCTGGCTTAATAGCAGTAACTGAGAAGGATCTTGGAGTCTTAGTGGACAACCAGCTAAATACGAGCCAGCCGTGTGTAGCAGCAGCCAAAAAAGCTAATGCAATCCTAAATTGCATCAACAGGGATACAATCAAGGCAGGTACTAATACCACTAATACCACTCTATAAAGTAAGACCACACCTAGAATCCTGCATCCAATTTTGGCCACCACACTATAAAAAAAAACCTTGAGGAAAGGTGCAGAGAAGAGCAACCAGGAAGATTAGGGGACTGGAGGCTAAAACATGAACGGTTACCAGAACTGGGCCTGGCTAGTCTAGGGAAGAGAAGGACCAGGGGAGACATGATAGCAGTCTTCCAATATTTGAGGGGCTGCCACAGAAAGGAGGACGGGGTCAAGCTATTCTCCATAGCTCCCAAAGGCCAGACAAGGAAGAATGGATGGAAACTGAACAACCTGGAAATAAGGAGGAATTTTCAGATAGTGAGAGCAATCCACCCATGGAACAGAAGTCGCCTTCGGAAGTTGTAGGAGCTTCATCACTGGAAGCTTTCAAGAAGAGACTGGGCTGCCATCTGTCAAAAATAGTGTAGGGTCTGCTTGGGCAGGAGGGTTGGACAAGATGATCTCCAAGGTCCCTTCCACCTCTGTTAATCTATACATTTGTGCATTATTCTGGAACAAAGTAAAATAACTTGCTTAGCATTTTACTGTGTCTTTTAAGTCAACTGTTGACTCCTGGCAAGGGCAATTTTCTTGGCAACATTTTCAGGAGGGATCTGTCCTTCCGCCTCCTTCCAAGGATCGAATGAGAGACCCAAGAGGTCATCCGGCTGGCACTGTGCCTAAGGCGGGACTGGTTCTACTGGTTTCTGTCCTTATTCAGGACACCAAACAAGTTCCCTTGGCGCATTAACTGTGGTTAAAAGGCAGCGCGTTAAGTTTTGTATCCAATTTCTATTTGCTTATTTAAGTAGTTATTCAGTTGTCTTACAAGGAGAGAAAAACAGGCTAAGATGAAACAACCATTAAAATATACAGTTAATAAAATAATCCTATCCTGGGGAAAATAACATCATACAGGTAACTCCTTGCATTAGAACAGTTCATTTAGTGACCAAGGGCACTGAAAAAAGTGACTTAGGACTATTTTTTCCACTTAGCGACTGTGCCATAGTCCCCATGGTGATGGGATCAAAATTTGAATGCCCTGCAACTCACTCGCAGTTCTGATGGTTGCAGTGTCCAAAGGTCACGTGATTCCCTTTGACGACCTTCAGACAAGTGAAGTCAATGGGGGGGGGGAACCAGATTCACTTAACAACCAGGTGACTAATTTCATGGCTTCTGTGATTCACTTAACAACGGTGGCAAGAAAAGTCATACAATGGGGCCAAACTTGCTTAACAAATGTCTGACTTAGCCACAGAAATGTTGGGGCTCCATTTTCGGTCATAAGTCAAGGACTACCTAGGGAATTCTGGGAGTCAAAGTCCGCCAGGCTTCAAGTTGCCAAGGTTAGCTGCGGAATCCTGGGAGTTTGGGCAGGGGGTTGAACTAGATGACCTACAAGTCCCTTCCAGCTGCTCGGATTATCTGTTACCTGAGTTGAAGTTGCCAAGGTTGCAGACCCCTGGCCTAAATCACCCTCCCCGAAAGGGCCTCGACCCGGTGCCCCGAGAGGAAAAACCGACTGAACCGCTTCCTCCATCGCCCAAACGGGGAAAAAAAGGCCCCCGTTCAGACGTTTAGCTGGGGGGGGGGGCTGTCTCCCCGTGTCCTGGAAGCCCCGAGCCCCTTTTTGCACCCCAGAGCCTCTCCGACACGCCGCTCGCTTGCACGGGACCCCGTTCCCCTTAACCATGATGGTTTGCCCCATTGGGCAGCCCGCAGGGACCGGAGCACCTGCCGCGGGGCTTCGGGCGGGGCCGGCGACGCGGCGAGACTCCGCCTGTTGCGTGGCCGGCTCCTCTCCAGGCCCCCATTGGAGAAGCCGCGGCTTAGCGGATCTCTAAGCCCCATCCACTTACCGGCAGGGAGGCAGAAGCCGCCTCCGGAGCGCCCCCGCCCTCCCCGCCTCCCCGGGCATCT